TCCAAGGGATTTATATGTGATACTTCCTGGTGTAATGATTTGATCCATAGTGTAGGGTTGACTGTGGTGATCAATATTGGAAGGGAATCAAACAAGAAACTCTGTTATCACAGATCACCATTACTGTGACAATGTTTGTTGTGATGTTTATCATTATACACACAACGTTGACGGCTGATGTAAACAGAAAGGTAAATTTATAGACTTCATAACCACCAATATGTATTTTTCATGGGAGTCATTGTCAGCATCATTAAACTTTACGTGAAATCTAAAGCTGGGGTGATGAAAACTTAATGATCTGTACAAATAAGTACAGAAATATACGTCACTTACAGAACTATAATGCTGTACTAAGAAAGAACCTAAGGATAGTACATGTTTGTACAGCCTTGAGAATGAAATGACTGAAGTCAGAACAACATGCCATGCAGTCATAGAAAGTTCAAAATCAATTTTTGAAAATTCCTTCTGGTTATTATTTTTTGATGCAAAGCCAAAATCAATTTAAAGAAATAGTTTTTCTTTCCTGCGGACTGTATATTCAAACCCTGGATATTACATAACATATAGGAATTTGTATGTTACATGCTGGGACGATTGCCTATTTAGTACCTGACACAAGTCCCTGTATGTGATGACCAGACAGAAGCAGAATTGATCAGCAGGCTATATGGAGAATATAATCATGTAAAAGGGCAAACATCATTGCTGAGCTGCCCAGATTGTCTGATGGTGAATCTCCAAATCAGTATTACTTGTGTCTGTGCTTGCTTATTGGACAAGACTGTGTGGAACGACAGCCTGCCAATGTCAAAAATCACCCTTGTCAGCAAGTTTAGCTATATAATCAGATCATTCAGACTCTGGTGATTTTATCAATTATCACTGGAAGGAACTAAGTTGCCTATACCATTGAGGATCAGTTTGATGTTGAAGACATTCAATTTTGGATCATATTGGAATTTCTACATACTGAGGTACCAACTTGTGATATTCTTATGGATAATACAGGCGATACATTTTAACGAAAAAACATCAATTATATTTTATGTTTCAAATTCAAACCTCGGCAGTGTCTGATCTTATCTGAAGGGCAGTGTTGCAATTTGCCAGTAATGCTTTTGATCACAACCACTTGAGGTCTTATAGTGGACATATAGGCGACACAAATTATGGTGTCCAGTTCTGTGGCTCGATTGGACTGGTCACTGGGTCAGAACAAACTGACTGTCTCCTGCAGCAGGGCAGACAGTAGGTAGGTGACAATCATATTGATGAAATCAATTATACTTAATGGAGTTAAATAACACAAACAGAATTTAAATGTGATAAAAAAATATAATTGGAATCGATATAGTGATTTGTGAGCTGTACAATTTTCACTGAGCTAAATAATTTTCATCATTTGAGCTTAATACACCTAGCAAAATTGTTTTGCTAGAGTTCAAATATAACATTTTAGTGAATGCAAGGTCCAAGAAAAATTCACACAGTTCTTGTTCTATACTGCAGAGTACAATGTTCTTAGTTATATATTTCCATGTTTATCAAGATACATTATGTATATCACTATTTTTTTTATTTTTGTTGATGTAGATAACTGACAGGATTAAATATTCCATTAATTGGTATTAGGATTCAATGCATGTGAGGCACAAAGTTTATCACATGGAGCTCGTACCTGTAGTAAAAGGGGTCAACTATAAGTTAATTGATACAAATGCATTTAAATTCATCATGTTGCTTGTTTATGAAAAGAAATTTTGTACCCTAAGCATGCTGATGGAGGGGGTCGTGACAGTAGGTCCATCTGTCTCTGTCTACATAATATAAGATTTCAGGAGTAATTTACACAATCATGTTATCAGTAGGTCACTTTATTATACTATCAACTTCACTGTGTGGTCAGTTTATAAGAATTTTCTAGTTTGAAGAGATTACAAACATTTTCTAGTCAAAATATGGGATTATAAGCACTTTCTAGTTTCAAAAAGAATTTACGAAGATTTTCTAGCTTTGTTTCAAAAAGTCCATGTTAGGTCAAATGGTTACTTTTTGAAATCATAGGTATAAAAAAATCTCCTGGTTAAAAGAATCCTTACTTAACAATGGTAATTGTGAAGGACACCTGTCTGTAACATATATGTTCATATTCTGTTAGGATTGACCAGGATCATGTACTGAAATTGAACTTATACTCTCAAAGCAGTATGTTTGTTAATGCTTTAAATATTAAGTAGAAGTAAATAATGCAATAATGACTGGGTGTAACTCCATCAAAAGTGTGCTTTCCTGTGAACAAGCAGTTAAATATGGATAGACGTGATTTTTAAGTCTTCAAAGAGAATCATGCAGTGCTATTGTTAGATTTACGAACTGTTGAGACGAAGTAGTTCAGGTAATGTTTATCTCTATAAAATCTCGTACCTGTAACAACATATTTATGTTGGTAAACCATTAAAACTTTGATTGAAGTGTACTCAATTACACAGTGGTAAGTACAGTTCTATTTTCTGTTTTTAGGGGGTAATTTGTAGGTACATTTCTAAATATATTTAAAAGTTTATCATTTAAATTACCAGTATTTGGAGAAAACATTTATTATTTGAAACTTTATTCACATCACTTTGAAAAAGGATGTATTGATTGTGAAACTTTGAAGGTTTGAATACAAAATTTTTAAACATCATTGTATGTATAGCTATCACCATCAAGCAGACAGAATTCACTATATTATCATGCATGATTAAGATACTTTGGGTAGAATTCCTGATAAGGTCATTATATACCTCATCCAATATCTGTTTCAGGATGGTGTTCAGTTAAATCTTAAAAAAAAGGAAATTATGATTTTCTTACATGTTACATTGGAATTTGGCTACCCTTGACTCCATTTCTTTTGAAACAGGAATTTGGACAACTGTGACAAAATATAAATGTTTTATTAACAAGAGAAACTAAAATTGGCTTGTGTTCAAATTAGAATCCTGTACATACATATTACAAAATAGTAGATTTGATAGTCTTTGGTAATCTATCTCACAACAGATATATATTTCATACCATCATGTAGTACTATATAATATACATTGGAGGTTAAAGGTCAGCGTTGTGTAATATATCTCTGTCTCATTACTGAACAGGTGTGACAGGTTTAATTGGCCATAGTCATCTTAATATTTAGTTTTCCTGAACTTTGTTTTCTCCTCGCTATATCATTGTAAATGTAGTGTGAGAGTATAAAAAATTTGTATCATTTAAAAGGCCAGATTAACAAACACATTTGAAAATATAATATTGGTTATTTCTTTTGTAATGATTTAAGTTATTCTGATTTTCAATTAACTATTGCATATGTCTCTATAATACAAACTTCCTCCTTTTTAGAAATAAAAAAACCCAATGATATATGCCGAAAATTCATAACATGAATATTTAAATGCAAATTACTCATTAAAATGCAGATGAATATGTAAAAATGAACAGGTATTTTTTCAACAAGGCATTATGAACCAATCTATCATAAATTGCCCCCCCCCCCTCCCCCACTTCCCCTGCAAAAAAAAAAAAAATTGTAGAAATGAAGGACTGAAACTGTCAGTAGAGTATAAATAACTATCACTAGATTATACAACCTATCTCTTCCATGGAAACTATAACAAGAGAGATCTGTGTAACAAAATCATTTATAGTAACTTATAATTATATTTAGATGTATGTTTTTGCCATTTCTGTTGTTTTTATGATTTATCAGTTGAAAGATGGTATTCAACAAAATTGTTACAGATTATTAATGCATGAAGGTAATGGAGATGATGGATTATTTGTTTGGTTGGTTCCTGAATAAGAATTGCTGTGAAAATGTGATATTTTTATGACAAATATTTTTTATCCCCTTCATTCATCTTAATTACAGTCATTACTATCACCATTGTGAATCTTGAAACTCACTCTCATAAATACCACAGTGACACAGGCAGTAAACTGTGATGTAAAAGACCACAGAGACACTGGCTGTAATCTGTGATGTATACTATACAGAGACACTGGCAGTAAACTGTGATGTATACTATACAGACACACTGGCTGTAAACTGTGATGTATACTATACAGAGACACTGGCAGTAAACTGTGATGTATACTATACAGAGACACTGGCAGTAATCTGTGATGTATACTATACAGAGACACTGGCTGTAAACTATACAGAGACACTGGCAGTAAACTGTGATGTATACTATACAGAGACACAGGCTGTAAACTGTGATGTATACTACACAGAAACACTGGCTGTAATCTGTGATGTATACTATACAGAGACACTGGCAGTAAACTGTGATGTATACTATACAGAGACACAGGCTGTAAACTGTGATGTATACTACACAGAAACACTGGCTGTAAACTGTGATGTATACTATACAGAGACACTGGCAGTAAACTGTGATGTATACTACACAGAGACACTGGCAGTAAACTGTGATGTATACTATACAGACACACTGGCTGTAAACTGTGATGTATACTACACAGAGACACTGGCTGTAAACTGTGATGTATACTATACAGACACACTGGCAGTAAACTGTGATGTATACTACACAGAAACACTGGCAGTAAACTGTGATGTATACTACACAGAAATGTTATGGTTGATATTTTAGATCATTCAAATTAATTATGTTTTTTAAATTATGTTGAAAAGTAGAGTTAGAAGTATGGTGAAACATTGTTAAGAGATTCATCGTTACAATTGTATTGAAACATCAGGTGTTGGGTGGAATCTAAAGAAGGATGAAAAATTGTCAATGCATGTAGTTCAGTTATGATAATAGGTCCCATACCCATATATGGGATATATATTCTGTCGAAATGCTGTAAAATTCTGTGTTCTCATCATGATTGAAAAAATTGACTCCATGCAACTATGCAAAGTATTCTGGTACCGGGTATCCGTAAAATTTTCACTGTTTGTAACTTGTGGTTCATGTTTATAGTTTCAGTGAGAGCTACTTTGCTGTGAAAGGAGCAGTGCTTATCCTTCCCCAGAGTGATGTTACAGATCAGACAAACACACATAAGATAGTACGAGAGAGACATGCAGGTGTTGGCACAGGTAATTTGCACATGGACATAATCAGTAATATGATCCAAAATACATTTTGAGCCAGAAATTTCTCTTTCTTGTGTAGAAAGGTTCAAAACATTATTTGATAATGTTGTAAATCATTTTCTTGGTAAGTATACAGTCGAACCTTGTTATCTCAAACTTATATAACTTGAAGACCCCTTTTAATTCAAAGTATTTTGTTGATACCAGCCAACATACTTCACACCAAACATTACTCCAAATATTGGAACTCATTCTAATCCAATACTCAGTATCAGATAAAAGTTTCCCATGATCTCGCCAACTATATCTTGACTATATATAGGATAGAAGTTCCTTATATCACAACCATTAAGAAATTTATGTGTGACACCACACAAATACCCAGTATGTAGCATGTTTGCAGTGCACAAGATAGAAGTAAAAAAACCTTATGGTCTGTGATATACTCCTACACATACACTAAAATGGAAAATATTATGACAAAGTGACAGTAAGGTTAAGGTGAAAACAGGCCCAATAATTATAGGACAATGATAGCACAGATCCTGTGTGTGAATTTATCCAGTCAGTATTTAAAAACATTTGGACAAATTTAGGGTATCCCTATTCAACACAAGTCTATTCTTTGAATCCTGAAGGTGTCCTTTTTTTAAAGTATATTTGATTTGAGTTGAATTTCCTTTTTAGAAAGTACTTTTTAATTCACAGTTACTGGTGACATACAGAGCCACCTTCAGTCCATGTTCTACCTCCTTCGGTCGTATGATACGATCAAAGTGGTAAGTACAGATTAGGTATACAGAGCCACCTATACTACATGTTCTACCTCCTCCTGTCATATGACACCATCAACATCGTAAATATATATGGTAGTTTATTGACATATAAACTAATTGTCAGCTTTTAAATTTTACTAGCCTTAATTTAGAACTGTGTATGTCAGTTTATGTAATTACTACGGTTTCAGTAAGTGTTTTTAATAATGCTTGTCTTTTGTTGATTCAGGTTAACTAAACATCAGAGTAAAATATTGTCAATGTCCAGTCTTTGTCGTCAAACCAGTATAAAAATGACCCCTAAGAAAACAGGATTTTCTGATAATTCTTTTATATCCAAACTATTAAAACTGATTATGTGATATGTTCACCCTTGTTTTTACATTTACAGTTTCAGTCTATTGTCACAGCTTCTAGAACTAGCTGATACTTCCAACCCTAGCTTTCTCATTGGGGGAATTTCCCAACAGATTATCAGTGACCTCTAGTGGCAGCTGTATGCTATGAACAATGCTGCCATCTTTCAAAACAGTGTCATGCATGCATACTCTCATTTCTGTTTGAACAGGCCGTAAAATTAGAGAGTCAACATGAAGGACACAATCGGTATATGGCTGTTGTGTCTTGCTTTGGTAAACAGGACACGGAGGAGTCGGTCATCCTTGGCATCGACTGTAACAAGGAGGCAACCATAGGGCTGGTCCTACCTATCTGGGCAGACACTAGTGTCAAACTCAATGGCGATGGGTTAGTTACATTAATGTCTTGAAATTCTTATTACCATTTACTTAAAAATATAAATAACAGCACAAAGCAAAGTCTCCCTAATAATAAAAGTAATAAGATATGAAGAGAACAAGGGAGATAATCGGTACATCCATTTAGGTAAAACAAATCCATATATAAAGGGATAGGTAACTCAGCATAGCTTTGTGGCTTAAGTCATAATTAATACACATTTTTCACATAGTTGATGTAAAGGTATTTTTCAAGAGCATAATGCAGATCACCTTCCTTTAATTGGAATATTGCTCGTAAGTTACGCAACTATTATTGATACAGTATGTTTACTGCGGTACATTACCTCATAGTGTCAGATGATTGTAGCTGCAGTCAGGTATAAGATGAAAGCAGCAGTCTTTCTTTTTATCTAAAATAAGATAAAAATATCAGCTGCACCAAATCTGTAAATCCTGCTTACTACTGTCTTACAGAGGTTTTATGGTGAGCTCAGAAGGCAAACAACATATCTTCAAACCTGTGTCTGTCCAAGCTATGTGGTGAGTGTAATTTATGTCCAGGAATGGCCAGATCTCCAAACTGTTATTCAGTAGAGTTATTCTGTCAGTTTGAGATACTCTTGAATTATCAGCCCTTAACCAGTTTTATTAGAGTGTTTATGTGTCCAGTCTATTATTGTATGTATAATTACCTGTTTGTCCATTTGTACATCTTAGATTGTCCTTTTGTCTCTCTTTGTGTCTGCCTGACCTGTGATTGTCTTTGTTCCTGTGCCAGTCTTTGCATCACCTTGTTCATGAAACTACCTTTATGTTTTTCACCTACCATTTCCAAATTTAAATGTTTTGGGAAGACAGATTGTCATGTATTGATTAAAGTCATTGCTGTTAACAGAAGGGAAATCAGGATGGAGTTCAATACATTGCCCAATTTATGTATGAGAAGTGTTAAAATTTGTATTGCAATTATTGATATGATTTTGAACCTGAAACAATCTGTGTCTTAAAAAAAATTCAATGAGTATCACATTTGCAGATAAAACCACAGGCACTCGAGGCCAGGGTATTATTTTTTAAACGTTGATTTTTGTTTTAGCACATGCACACAAATATTTCAAGTTTATGTGCCGGTTGACAAATCCGAGGTCCACGGTCATTAAAAATACACAAGGCAAGCAACTCCAGATTTTAAAAAATCGACCCCTCGCTTGGAAACTGGCTCAAAAAAAGTAGTTATGATAAGTTCCTTGTAAAACAATATGTATCCGTAGGTAGTGTGTATATTTACCTTTTATTTGTGCATAAGCAACATTTTCACAATACGTACATGAGATTAACATGAAATTTTATCGTCCATGTAATTATCTTTGACGGAAGTAACATGCCATTTCAAGGGCGGTCACTCCGACTTTTTGGGAGAGGAGTTCCGGATAGCACTATATATATATATATATATTACGCGCGTAACTTCAAAATATATTTTTATTTCTACAAATACATTATATGGAAAAAAATGGCTGCATTTAAAAAAAAAATGAAAAAAAATCATTTAATTTCCAATTTCTAAGTTAATATATTTCCCCCACGATATTTTTCATAAATTGCGCCCTTTTTTCATTATCTGCATGATTTTTTTTTTCTATTTTTTTTTTTGAAAAAAAATTCTCATTACCGCCAGCTTGATTGAAATTTGATGCATTCTGTATAATCCCTTACCATGATATTGTATCCGAGTTGGCAACTGTGGACTTTCTTTGCCCAGCCATTATTTTTCCATCCCCGCAAATGTATTTGTAGAAATGAAAATATCTATTTTGAAGTTACGCGCGTAATACATATACCGTACCTGTTCACTGGTATAGTGCACTCCTCCAAAACCATGTTACTTCCGTCAAAGATAATTACATGGACGATAAAATAAATATATGTACGTATTGTGAAAGGTTCTGTAATGTTATGCACCATAAAAGGTAAATATACACACTACCTACGGATACATATTGTTTTACAAGGAACTTATCATAACTACTTTTTTTGTCACCACACCAGGTCTTTTTTAAAATATATGCCTTGTGTATTTTTAATGACCGTGGTCGGATTTGTCAACCGGCACATAAACTTGAATTCTGCTGATATTTCGTTTAAATAACGTCAGTCATGAGTGCTAAAACAAAAATCAACGTTTAAAAAATAATATCCTGGCCTCGAGTGCCTGTGGATAAAACGTGTTGTGAACATGCACACAACTTTCCTACATGCCATTTAATTCAGATTTATCTAATCTCCAACATTGCACCCCTAATTCTTATCACTTTCACACCATTTGTAAGAAGACCATTTTGAGTTACCATTAGTTGTGAAATTGTTTTGCCATTGCAGCAAGCAATACATTCCGTGAATCAATGAGGATAATATATATATATATATATACTTATAAATATATAGGTTGGTGCTACACAAGTATGTATATAACGAAAGTGTTGTATGGCTAGGTTGGTGCTTCTTGAGCCTGTACGTTTTGAATTCATTGTATGTAAAGGTCGTCACAACACCAGTCTGTATGTTATAAATATATCGTATTTAAAGGTCGTCACCACACCAGTCTGTATGTTATAAATATATCGTATTTAAAGGTCGTCACCACACCAGTCTGTACGTTATAAATATATCATATTTAAAGGTCGTCACCACACCAGTCTGTACGTTATAAATATATCGTATTTAAAGGTCGTCACCACACCAGTCTGTATGTTAAAAATATATCGTATTTAAAGGTCGTCACCACACCAGTCCGTATGTTAAAAATATATTGTATGTAAAGGTGGTCACCACACCAGTCTGTATGTTATAAATATATTGTATGTCTAAGTCTGCGGTTCAGAAGTTGTATGTTATCAAATGTTTTGTGTTAATGTCAGCGTTACAGAGCCTTAACAAGTTGGTAATGTATATTATCAAATGTTTTGTGTTAAGGTCGGCGTTACAGAGCCTTAACAAGGTGGTAATGTATATTATCAAATGTTTTGTGTTAAGGTCGGCGTTACAGAGCCTTAACAAGGTGGTAATGTATATCATCAAATGTTTTGTGTTAAGGTCGGCGTTACAGAGCCTTAACAAGGTGGTAATGTATATCATCAAATGTTTTGTGTTAAGGTCGGCATTACAGAGCCTTAACAAGGTGGTAATGTATATTATCAAATGTTTTGTGTTAAGGTCGGCGTTACAGAGCCTTAACAAGGTGGTAATGTATATTATCAAATGTTTTGTGTTAAGGTCGGCGTTACAGAGCCTTAACAAGGCGGTAATGTATATTATCAAATGTTTTGTGTTAAGGTCGGCATTACAGAGCCTTAACAAGATGGTAAAGATCTCCAGGGATAACATGTACATTCCTCGTGGCCTTACTCACACCTGGATTGGTTATTACAATTCCCGCATCAGCTCTGATCGTGCATGTATATCAGAATGGTAAGTCTCTGAGTCAACAACAGGTTTCTCTGTAGCTATGTATTGTAAGAAAACATTGGATTATGCTGAAACATACAGCCACTGAGGATATACATGTATCATTTTCATGCCTATGTATGCTTCACTTCGAAAGAAATTAACAAGACTGAAACAATCAGAATCAACATAAAGATATCTGCTTGGAATTAAAATTCATATGGTACTTTATTGTTGCTATTTTTACATGCATAAAAAATAATGAAAATAAACGAAAAAAATTACTTCATGCAAAGAGAAGTAGTAACATTGAAATATGTGTGACTGGTAAAAATTGCTGTAATTGTTATGTTACAAAGGTTTACCTCAGAAGAACTGCAAAACTGGAGATCCACCAATATCTTATTCATGGACCCGTAAGTACATTACTGGTACACTTAAAAAAAACTAACTACAAAATTATTAAATGTGTGGCAAAGTGGCATGGTGGTATGACATATGGCATTGTCCTTGGGCTCTGGTCACCCTATAGGATATGAAGGGTTAGAGGTCATTTGCCTCAGGCTTAGTGGGTTCTTCACAGATATCATCCTATAGGATATGAAGGGTTAGAGGTCATTTGCCTCAGGCTTAGTGGGTTCTTCACAGATATCATCCTATAGGATATGAAGGGTTAGAGGTCATTTGCCTCAGGCTTAGTGGATTCTTCACAGATATCATCCTATAGGATATGAAGGGTTAAAGGTCATTTGCCTCAGGCTTAGTGGATTCTTCACAGACATTTTGGTTTCCTCTCAAAATGTGCTCTCCCTCATGTGTTTCCATCCAGGTCAACAACAAGGGTTACTTTAAACATACAAATTGTGATAAAAATGTGGTTTCACTTATTTAAGTTTCTGTATGTTGTTTATAATTGCAATTGTTGTGAATGTGCAAGCTCATCACTATGCTAATATGCCAAAAAGTGATAACATGCTTTTATCAAAATTGTGCCTAAATCAAATATGTTTACAATAACATGAATAAAGTTGATATAGCAGGTTTTGTTTTTCTTATAAATTTTATTTAACTAGTTTAAAGTAACAATTGACCATACTTTGAAAGTGTTAGTAATTTAGATGTCAGTAACTAATAGTCTGTTGGATTTACCTTAATAGGATTAACTTAATGTGTTAATATCTTTGTTCCACTTTGAAACCAGACTTTTTTTGCAATATGGTTAAAATTTTACCAATTTAGATCATAAGTTAGAAACTATGAAACAGGCTTTTGTGTCCTCCATTGATTTAATTATCAAAGGATTTAAAAAATGTGTTGTATACTTGAAAATATCAAAAGATGGAATATTTGTATGCTGGTAGGTTTAATCGTTATTTTCTATTGCTTACTGAAAAGGTAAAAAGTGAAATTTTGATTTTGGGGTCAGATGTTTTGGCTCAATGAGCAGAAAAATAATGATTGTGCTAGAACTGAAAGATCATCGAGGGAGGAATGGATTTCTCATGGCTTGTGTATTTTGGTTGAACTTGATGGAACACATCTGTTAAAGATTGACATGATTGTGTGCAAAGGTTTGTTTTAACATCAGCAGCTTTTGTCTCTCTTGTGATTTCGTCATGCTTCGTCACTGACTGTGTCAATATGTATCCTTAACCCATATTTGATATGAGCATCTAAATGCACAACAGCAATGTAACATCAGCAGTTGGATTTGTTTGATTTCTCACTGCCATTCATAATTCTTTTTGTTGGATTTTCAAAACTGTGCATGTGTCATGGTCTTTCAAACATTTAAAAGATTTGCTGTGTGATCATGTGATGACGTATCTTGGTCATACATATGTTTGACACATGTGGTATGGTAGAGGTGACTGTGATGTGCTATGTCTTTGTCCTACAAATTGATATTGACTAATACTGACAATGACATATATAACAAAACATGCCTGTTTTCCCCTCCACAGAGGTGACACTCCTGATGATGTCCTACAGAAACAGATTAAAACAGGGCTGAAGAACATCATGATGACTGTGGACCTGGATGAAGTCACATCCATATTTGTAAGTCTTGGTCATCAAAAGTAAGACTCAATCCTGATGCCTTTCATGTTGTAATTTCAATGCCCATAGTTAAATCAGAAATGGACAACTTGAGTTAAATTTTCACACAGTAAACAATAAATTACAGCATTTTTTTCATCTTCTTCAAAGAAGTTTGAGGTGATGGTTGTGCTGCCGGTTAGTGTTTAATAGTAGATGTTTTTGGTGATGAGTATATTGGGAGATTGGCGTTGATGTTATTAGTTTGTAGAGGTTTGAGGCGATAGGAATACAGGGCTAGCTCTGGGTCAAAATTCAATTTCGCCAAACCAAATATTTTTGCTATAAGTGTGCAAACAGATTCCAGAACTCACCCTCACCCGACGAACCCTTAATTCCCTCATATAATAAAAATACATATGCTAATTATATAATTACATTATTTATTCACAGTTTTAACAACAATACATCAAACATAATACAGTATATGGTAAAAGAGTTTATAAACATGGAATTATTACAGGCCTTCTGCATCTCGACAGTTTGCTGATGTGTTGCCAAAGCAGCAGAGTGAGAGTTCTCATCTGTAAAATTGAAAATAAAATTTAGAATAGAATTGGACATTTGCAAAGAGATACAGGATTACATTGAACCTTATTCAAGCATTCTGAATACTTCAGGTTGGCATTGGTGTTACTAGTGCCAGATCAATCTCTGATTTATGGCAGGGGATACTTAATAACATGTAGTGATGACGTGATAAAATGATATTAAAATCTACGCATACAACCAATCTCCTGCCTCCCTTCTGACATTTCCTTACTTGCCTCAGCAAAGCTTTCTTACTTTTGCTTCTTCTCCTGTGTAAACATTTCAGCTACATGTTACCTGTAAGCTATTCATTTTATAGTTACGAAAGGCTCTGGAAGAGCATTTAAAGTGTTCCCTGACGAGCCACAAAAGATTTGTGGAGCAAGAAATGATCACTATCATGGGACAGATGGATTCTCCAACCATGATCAAAGACTACCTCTACCTTGGGTCAGAGTTCAATGCCTCAAACCTTGAGGAACTTACAGAGAACGGGTAGGTAACAGCTGTGACATGGTCATTTAAAGAAAGAAAGGATAGGTACCATGTTAGTGGAGTAGGTTACTGTGTTAGTTATTGGAATGAGGTTTGTGTATCATGTTGTTCCAAATAAGTGGCTGTAGTATTGTACTGTAATTATTGACTAAACCACTGCAAAACTAAATCTTTATTCTTTTTTTCACATCTTAAATGGTGATTCACAATTATACATTGTCTAATCTTGGATTCGGAATGTCTAATCTTGGATTGGGAAAAGTAAATATTGACCTTGTGCTTCCAAAGTTACATCTTAATAGGGATATATTTTGAGGTCATATGACCTGAAGGATGACCTATAACCATGGTGTTCCGTCTATCACTGTGTGCCATGTGTAAGCTTTCCATTTAAATGACTTCTTTTCAATACCAAAAGGCACAGGGTACTGATATTGGGCCTGTAACATGATTGGGTAAAGGCTACAAATTTTGTTAAAATAAATGACCAAGACTGACTTTCCAGGTCACTGGGGTCAGATATGTTAAAACTTTGAAACAACTTCTTCTCAATAACCAATTCCTGTTTTATATGTAGTTAAATGGGCTGGCTGTTAATAGGATGTAAAGCAATAATAAACTTAACTCAATAAAAAATTTTTTGACAGGGTGGACAACATACTGAACATCAGTCGTGAGGTGGACAATTTTTTCCCAGAGATTCTGAAGTATATGAACATCAAAGAATGGGACAATGAGGAGGCAGACTTGTGTAAACACTGGGATAATACCAACAAGTTCATTGGCAAAGCCAAGTAGGTCCATTTATTGTAGAATTACATTTATCCACATTCAGTATCCTGTAGTGATCACTCTGACCGGTACTCAGATAATAGGTGGCTTATTACCAAACAATTAAATAAGTAGAATTGTTTTATAATTTCACTGAACAGAAATAGGATGGGCCTATTACTGGACAATGAAATACCAGTAAGTAACATTTTTTATCATTTCACAGAACAGCAGCATGGTTGTTTTTTTTTTTTTCATTTTTTTTTTTTAGAAAATAAATCCCATAATTTTATTCTATCTAATGATTGTTGTCACATGGACATGGTTAGTCATTATTAGTCCTCTACTAGTGAAACTGAGGGCCTTCAGGGAGGCAGGGGCACTATAGGTTTTCCTCTCTGTCAGTCCATCCCTTTATCTGTGAAAGGACTGACCTCATTCCTTGAGGGATTTTCATCAAGCTTTATATACTAAAAAAGCTTCAAGACATTTTAGGCCATTTTTTCAGAGTTGTTTGGTCGAGATCAATGTCACTTACTATTTTTAGAAAATCATGATCAGTACTGTAGCTTGTAGCGGATGATAGGGAACATGAGCCTCTTCAGTAGGCTTGTTGTCTTGGTCATTATCTCAACAATAATTCATAATTACTGTAAAATAAGATTACTTTAATAAATCAATTGGTGCAGCAAGCTGTAAGTTGTTTTTCCATTCCAGAAGGGAGAATTCTAAAGTATTGGTCCATTGTAAGATGGGGATTAGCAGATCAGCCTCAACAGTAAGTGTATATTAAGAAATGTCAGAATTTTCATCATCGTGTGACTTTGAAAAACATCATTCAAAAATTATGCAGCGTGCATTACACCATATCTGATTATGAGAAATAAAGGGGTTATTGGTATGAATTGAAATGATTTAAAAACATGATTCATAGTTCTGATTGATAATTTGAGTCCAAAGATGGTATAAGGGATGAAAGTATATATATAGTTTAATATGATTTTTCAGGTGATGGCATTCCTGATGAAGGAGTATGACATGTCCAGGCAGGAAGCTTTTGATTTTGTGAAAGCCAAAAGGGCCTGTGTCATGCCCAACCAGGCTTTCTGGGCGCAGCTATTGATATATGAAGGGATACTCAATGCAAGGTAGGTCACACATACATTCTTTTATGTTTCCTGATAATAGATGAGGTAAACTCATTTCTAAAGTCAATATGTCTGTCTAATATGAAACAAGGTCTCTTCCAATTATAGATTATCTGATGGGAACCAGCCTAATAATATCATCTGATATTTTGCATATTATTGGTTTTTAATCTAGAGCCAATGTTTTCACTTTTAAATTACTATTAACAAGGTGTTATTGTCCTCACTACTTATCACTCAGATACTGAATTTCAAAAATGTGTATCTATAGATCAATCACGAGATGCTGACTAGCTATATTTTAGTGTGTAGTACCTAAAAATTAGTTCAGTTTGAAAATATTAACAGAAATAATATCTTTGATGACTTATGAAAGACTCCTTATGATGTCAGTTGAATGTTTGTGTTTGTTACAGCAAATAAAAGTATGTATTTATTATGTTCTGATTATTGTCATTACATTGATCCCCCCAATTACAGAGTCATTGCCCTTTGTTAAAATTGTGTGTCCTGAGCATAACTTTACTTGCATTTAAACTAGGGTAATGAAACTTTGTGTATACTTAGACCATACAAAGACACCATGCAATGTTCCAAATTCAGGGCCTGCAACCCCTAAATTAGTTATAGCTCTTTGTTAAAATTTCATGTCCAAGAACAATTTTAAGTTGCTTACATTAAAATTGGAATAAAGAAACTTGGTGTATGCATTGATCATACTAGGAGGATGTAAAGAGTATCAAATTCAGTGATGGAACTCCTTAATTACAGAATTATTGTCATTTGTTATAATTTTGTGTCCAGTAATGATGTTTTCTGGGAGCATTCATCAGTTTCACTGACACTTTTGTTACCTTGCAGTAAACAAAGAGCATTGTTTAAGAGTAAATCAGAGCAGAACCTGATTCGCACACCCATTGTTGTGGAGAAGGAGGAGGAAGAGTTACTGATGAAGAATAGCCAAGGCTGTAAAGATGACCTCTGTCTTCCTCTCCTACCCTCTTATGATGACAGTTTATTTCTCCAGGGTGAGTTGATCTGGATTAAGGTGCCTTGTCTATAAACGTTGGTGGTTGTCATGTTTACTAGAAGAAGGAAAATTGATATTCATGAATTAGAGGATTTATTTTACTGTTTTGTTTTGTGAAGCAATCATGAATATTTTAACACGAAGTATCTAACATCGAAACTCTCATTTCTGATGTAAGTTATTCCTCTAAATGGCACCTGTTAATACAGGAATCATATTTTGCCTGCATCAATTAATAAGTTAACTTAATATTCAATTTAAAAACTTAATACAGCATCCTTGGTGTATTTGAAAGATTTTTCAAGGAGTTATTCCCCTTTAAATCTACCAGAATTTTTTAATATCAACTTACACAAGACTTATCAAAAAGATGGCTCAGATATTGTAAATAACAGAGAAAGAAAATGCCAAATTATTACATGATGCTTTTTAAAACACTTTTATATATCACATGTGTCGTTATAGTTATGCAAATTCTTAAGGAGAAGTGATATCAATATTGTATATCATAGATTTGATATGAAATATGTAATAATTATATATCTATATAATTTTGTATAATCAATAAATCAAATTTTTGTATAAGCAAAACTGAACTCTCATTTTTAATTGTAGAAAAGGACAAGGATATCATATTTGATCTTGAGAGCAGTTCCCGTAGTGCTGACTCAACAGAAGAATGTCTCGACCATTCCTCACCCAAAGTTGACAATATCGTTAAATCCACTGGGTATGGTGTATATGTCATTGAAAGCAATAAGTTGTCACCTGGAGATGGTCCTGACACAGATTCCTCGTGTCTGTCAGACGAAGACTGCGATGAGACAGATACTGACAATATCTTTGGTAAACATTCTCAGTTGGAGAAAAATCAATCTCAACAAGCAACAGCTGTCAAGTATAAGCCAGACCGCAGTTGGATTAAAGAACGTGCTGAGACAGTTGATGAATCTGATGCAGTGGTGGGGTGTCCTGAGGATGAAGATCATCTCATACGGGAAACTATATCAGCCATTCATGGAGAAAGAACAGTAACTGCTGAACAACCTCAAATTTCACCATCAGAGATAGTATCCAAGGCAGGAGGGGACACTACTCTGTCCGAACTCCCACCTGACACTAAGCCATCAGTTTCTGATGACATCACAGACAATGGTGATATGGCTCCTTCTGGTGTGGAACTTGGTGTGCATCACCATTATATCAAAGAAAACATCCCTTGGAATCCAGGTACGGTGAAGAAACAATTAGAGGACATTGAGGGCAAGACAAAGGAAACATCAGATGACCCAGAAGCGGGAGATGATGGGGAATTAAACATGGAGCCATTAGCGACTGACCTGAAGTTATCTCCGGATGTGAGTCCAATTAAAGATGTGACGCCTTCAGACCCTTCAACTGATCAGGACAAAGTTGAGTCAGGAGAGGGTGTGAAGGCTCCCCTCAAACGATCAGCATCTGTGTATGAGATAGAGGATATCACACTCCCAGCAGGCATTGTCAGAAAAACTACCCAGGAAATAGAGGACCGTAGCTTGTAAGTCAGATTCTTATATTCCAAGAGAAAGTAAATATATATAAGATATAATAATTATTAACTTTTTTTCATAATTGCAAAGCAAGCTATCAGCTTATAATATTCACTCTTGTTGGCCCAGATGGATGTCTGTGAATGTGTTGTTGTGGGAGGAAATCAGAGTAAATTGGGGAAAACCCACATGGTCTGGCATGTGACCCCATATCTTTTCACACCCATAAAATAAATATTATCATGATACAAAAGTTTAAGACTGACATGTTTGTCATTGCAGACGAAGTGACAGTTCTCCTGAGATTCCAAACAAACCTTTGCAGCGATCATCCAGTTTGAAGGACGAAAGGGTAACACCCAAACGGAAGCGTTCTGAGCGACGGAAAACCTGTACTCCAATTGTTACGCCAAGCCCCACCCCCTCTACCACTCCTGTGACTACTCCACACTCATCCTACGATACAACACCTTGTAGTGAGATAAAAGAATTTGTTTTCCCATTGAATCAGATGACGAAGAGTTCTGATTCAGGGCAGATAACTACAGTATCACCTGACCCAGAGGGGACAAATGAGAGTCCAGGGGAGAATGTTGCTGTGTACAAGTTTGGTACTGAGGAAGTCCCTGTTGCTAAGGGCATTGTCAAAAAGCAAAAAATGGGTAAGCTGATCTGATCATTACTAAGAAATATCTAAATACACTATATCAGTTCACAAATGTTTAAATATTCCTAATTATTTGTATTTGTTAAAGACTTAAACTATGAAGTTTGTATACAATTCTCTGGCCATAACTTACTATGATATTGCTGGTGTTGTCATCACTGTGATTTCAAAAAGATACTGAAATTAAGATTGGACACCAATGGTGGGGTTGGGGAGTTAGTAGTAAAGGCATGTTAGTTCATGGAAAAATTGAGTTTCAGGGTCAATGTCGCCATTTCTATTTGTTTTTAGAAACATCCTTGTCAGCATTATAGTAGCTTTATTCCTTGAAGTCAAATGTTGAACAGCAAGGGGACTTGTGTTGTTTTTGATGCCATATTTTAATTGAATAATTGTAGCCTCCATGTTAATGATTTAGATAAACATATTTAATTTCATTCCTACATCATATTTACACCACTTGAATTTTGACTGTATAGCTTGAGAACTGTATGACATATTGCAGATTGTACAATCATTTTTTTTCCCTCACTGTTGCAGATATAGAACAAAAGACAAGGGAAAGAAACATGTCAGAGGCTCGAACACCTGATTCTGAAGATGTAGAGGGAAAGATTGTTTCTGGTAAAGCTGATGATACCAAAGACAATTCTGGTGCTTTTAAGTGTAAAGCCACTGTGCCTACATCTATAGACATTCCTAAAGTGATTGAAACAGGAAGTGGAGGAAATATGAATTCTGAAAAGGATGATATTCAGACTTCTGTAAAAGGTGGTACTGTGTTTTCTACATCACCTGTGTCTTCAAGAGACTCGGCGAGTCCCTCATCTCCACTTCTGAGAAAGAAACAAAAGACAAGCATTGACCTTGACAACAGCAGAAGATTTGACTCTGAAACCTTGGAACTCATTCGTGAAATTGGTTCAGCATTTCTCAATAATCCAGCAAAGACAGAAAAAGAGAAGGAGATCAGTGAACAGGAAGCTGTAGAAGGGGGCAGTCTTGTGAAATTCTTGGTGAGAAACATTGAGAAATCTACAAATGTTACCAAGAAGTCCCATATGAAAGAAATGGTGATAATAGATAAAGACACTGCTTCAGCTCAGCAGGAAAAGAAAAAGAAGCTATGGCGTTACAGCAGTCCAGCTGTGGAGCCACTAACACCACCAGGTGACCGACCTCGTGTCACCCATTCACACAGTAGTCCTGCTCTGGACGTCCCTTGTAGACATAAAGACGGGCATGTAGTAGCTGGGAGTGTCACAACCCCGTCTTCATCCCTCAGTATTGATCCCTCCCAATTTGTAAATACTGCTGTTCCCACCAATACTCAATCCACAACAACTGTGATAGAAACCCACGAGGACATTGCTGAGGGGAAGACAAAGGAGAAAGTGAAAGATCTGGTAGGCAAGTTTGAGCTTACTGACCTGGTTAAGGACCCAGGAGTTAAAGGGGCCACGCCTACAGAGGAACCCCTCCCTATGGTGTTAAAAGAAAATGACAATAGTAAACTTACAAATATGAAATCCCCTGTCCCCTCTAAAGATGAAATTGAAAGATTGCCATGCCCATGTTCCAGTGCTTCCGAGAGCTCATCCACCACTCCAGGAGAGGAAGAAACCGAAGATCAATCAGTGTCCGAACAATCAATAAAACTGCGTCAACTAAGGCAGAATCTACGCAAGACAAATGATCGACCTAAATCTGCTGAACATATACATAGGAGTAACAGTACCACAACAGGGGAGTCTGCCCCTCAGAGGCCACGCCTCAGACATGCCAACACTCTCCCTAGTCCCACAGAACTGGGGCCATCGACATTTTCATGGGAGGGTAAGAAAGTTAGAAAGTTACATGGCAAGTCTCATCCCTTGACAAAGCTGGAAACTAGGAGAGCAAGTCCATTTTATAACACTATGTGATTGTCTACCTATATGTTTTCCCACCATGTATGCATGTTTGCTGTAGTTTGTGTGATGTTGATGATTTCAAGGTTATTTGTTGGTGATAATTGACCTTGTGATAGCTAGGAAGGTCACAAATGGGTGTTTGGTATTGGCAGCGCTGGATTTGTATTATAGGGCTGCACTCGGCTAGATTCTAGTCAGTTCAACACTGTTTCACATTCTGTTACAACATTGTCTGTATTAAATTTTCATCTGACAACCTTCTTTGTTTTCAAATTTCTTTTCTTTAAAGAAATAGATGCACATGTTCTTACTTGCCAAAGATCTGTAAAATATGTTTCGATATTTTGAAATAGAATTACTTACATAAGAGCCAGATAGAAACTGTTAGACCAGTATGTATGTAGCAGAGTTACAACCTTTGAGTTGCAAACTCTGGCAGGAATTTTCAATATATCAGTTGTTCAGTGAAAGAAACTGTAGAATTGAAGAAGCTTACAAATTAGCTACCAGTGAGTTTACTTTCTCAGGTCAGTATAAAAGTGTGCCTCTAACACTTCTGAAAACTAATGAAGAAAAAAAGTATTGCAGTAAAGGAATGATTAAGGCAATGGCTTAATAGAGCCACATTGTAATTCAGTTAAAAAAAATCTAACTCGTCTAAAGAACTCTAGGCTTCGTTTAGAGCTACAACCGATAGAATTGAAATGATAACCTACTTTGAAGTTATAGGTAGGAAACCAAAACATGGCTTGTGAGGTCGTGAGGTCAAGTAGATGTTTTAATGGAACATCTCTGGTAATTTGTAGTGATACAGTGTTGGACTGATTAAATCTTAACAGGTGACCAAATCAACTTCTTCCATTCCATAACATTATCTACTTCATCTCTTATTAGAGCTTACATTGCCATATATAGTTGTATAATTGTAATACTATTAACTCTACATTAATGTAACATTACTAATACAATGTAATAGCATTATGCACTGCTGTAGAACTCATTTTGTGACCTTGGATTTTGAAAAAAAGTGAAGTAAGAGAATCTACATGTATTTACAGCAAATGAAGATTGAAAGTGCTTTCAGTTCAGTGTTGAGTATGTCTTGTTTAGAAGATGATCGAACTGTTGTTGGTTTCACTTAATCCTCCGGAAAGCCAGGCTAAGATCAAAGAGGAATATTTGGACCATGTGAAACAAATGAAATCTTTGCCTCCGTTAAGGATTTCAGATTGTCAGATTCTGATGTTTTGCACAACAGTAAATGTAGTTTCATCAGTTTAATGCAGGGCTAAACAGCTGATAATATGAATACAGTTGTGTCAGAATTAAAACCAAAACAGTTTCATATTGTCAAGTATTCAATCAATATTAATATAACTTTGTACAGATATACATAGATCAATAATTCCCTTTCATTTCATCTGACCAATAACATGTTAACCAAATAACACAACATTATTGTTCCATTCATGATCAATCTGCTCTACTCAACAGCACACCAGAAAATGTTGGGTTTTTTTGTTATTATAAAGAAGATGGTTTATTTTCTTTTACAAACGTTAATCATTTAGATGTCAACTCAGTATGAATTGTAAAACAAAGTTGATTTTTTCTTTGTTTTCTTAATTAGATGTTCTCAGTAATCTTTGTAATGCAATAACTCAACACAGGCGGAGGACTCTATTTCAGAAGACATCTGTGACTCATCATCAATCCATTATACATTCATACTGAAACTTGCAAACGACTGATAATCATTGATCAGTATGCAGTTTGAATCAGAAATACTTTTCCTATAGATTTGAACTGATTTTCTGTAAGTGTCAGAGGTCAGGTAGAAACCCCTAGGCCCATTGGTATGTTGTTAATTTACTGATTTCAAATGAAGGTTGAATGATTTTATATTAAAGGTAAAGATCTGATGTTTTCCTAAACATTATGAAATAGACTCTACATACTGTTTTCTGTATTAATATGAATTTTTAAACATGTTTAAACATATGGGTAAGAGAGCACTTTAAAACTTAACATATAGTCTATAGGACCAGTGAGTTAAATACACATGGCTGGATGACTTCTTGTCTGTTAAGGAACATAAATAAATCTAAAGTGTTTTTATTTTACAACAATTAGGAAAAAAGGTATTTCATTTGTTAATTTTTTTAAGGTGAGGAGGCTTTCATTACCATAATGTTATCAGTAAAAACAGAAAAACCAAAACTTTAACTAAAATATGTTTATTGATCGTTTATCAGATCTTTTTCATTTAGACTCTTCAATGTTTTTCCAACCTACTGCAAATGTATTTAATTTAACACTGTCATAATTTAGCACATAATCATTTATTGACAAATTACCGCAATGATGAATTTGTTCATCCACATTTGCTATACAAACAACATATAGACACTGCAGTTTGCAAAATCATATTTAAAACATAAAAGTGAAAAATGTTAAATTAAGATAACCCCTTACCCCTACATGTACATTACAGTAATTAGCTGTCTTGTACACTATTTGCGAACACACTGATGGAAGATGATCGGAACACCATAGTTCAGACAGGATTTACATTGCCAAGACCATGGACATAGAGAGTCAATTGAAAATATAGCATCAGAAATGGCCTACGTCGTATTTATCAGGTTTAATAATAAATAAAAAAGCAGGATTGAAATGTATTCAATTTTGACTGCACATCATAGAAAAAGTAAAACTGAAATGAATTTTATAGTTTCAAAAATTGTTTTAATTGGTATTATGACCAATTATTCTTGTCACAAAAGGAGATTTCTTGATTTGTTGTTAATCTGAAGTGGTGATGTAGTATAAACACCTTAGCAATAGTCAACTGCATTAACTTAACAACTTTAGTGTTTTGTTTGTTAAATGTTTGTCATTATTTTGAAATACTTCATGAACTGTTTGCTCTTAATTCTGTTGTAACATGACTTTGTCAATAGTTGTTGACTTTCAATAATTTCCGTTTGTTGTACATGTCGTTTGAATTACTGCAATTCTTTCTAACAGATTTGAAATATTCGTGAATTATTATGAATGAAACATACTGATAGTTAGAATCCATGTGAGATACTAGTACCCGATTCCTGTTTTATTTTAACGATGCCTTATCCTAGATCCAGCATTAAGAAATTGCCATCGTAATAGTATTGTTATAGTGAAATATCTGATTGGCTTCTACCTGGTGTGGAATAATAGTATGGAATGGGTGTGTTTCAATTGTTATTTTTCTTTAAATTTTTCACTTTGCATAAAAAGTTATATAATAACATGAATGAGCTAGTATTTTCTAGAAGTGGAAATCTTGATCAAAGATTAAGAAATCAATTGACCTTGTTTGTTGTTTTCACTTATTCCTATCCCTAATAGTCATGTATTTCACGCTATAGTTAGGGGTCATTCCTTGAGTCACTGATTTGGAAGGGAGGTCTGTATTAGGTTTTATTTGCCTGTAAAACCCAATCAACTGTGAAAAAAATAGCATTTTGAGAGATATACAGGTTTACAAACAAGAACAGAGATATACAGGTTTACAAACAAGAACAGAGATATACAGGTTTACAAACAAGAACAGAGATATACAGGTTTACAAACAAGAACAGAGATATACAGGTTTACAAACAAGAACAGAGATATACAGGTTTACAAACAAGAACAGAGATATACAGGTTTGCAAACAATAACAGAGATATACAGGTTTGCAAACAAGAACAGAGATATACAGGTTTACAAACAAGAACAGAGATATACAGGTTTACAAACAAGAACAGAGATATACAGGTTTACAAACAAGAACAGAGATATACAGGTTTACAAACAAGAACAGAGATATACAGGTTTACAAACAAGAACAGAGATATACAGGTTTACAAACACGAACAGAGATATACAGGTTTACAAACAAGAACAGAGATATACAGGTTTGCAAACAATAACAGAGATATACAGGTTTGCAAACAAGAACAGAGACATACAGGTTTACAAACAAGAACAGAGACATACAGGTTTACAAACAAGAACAGAGATATACAGGTTTACAAACACGAACAGAGATATACAGGTTTACAAACAAGAACAGAGATATACAGGTTTACAAACAAGAACAGAGATGTACAGGTATACCACGAAGAATAGAGATGTACAGGTTTACCACGAAGAATATCCTGTTGGCTTGAATGTTCACACAACTAATGATACATACAATTATTCCTTCTAATCTATTCTAAAGATTTGGGACATAGCAACAAATTGTGCTGTCTGTCTATTTGGCACCTTCTCCACTTTTCAAAATATTATTTGGCCAAAAAACCAAAAAAATGTCCCATCGAAATGACTGATAAATTCTAATTTCTTGAAAGTCCCATGGACAAGTGTTTAACTTCCGTTACCTTCAAGAAACATTACCTAAAAGAGTGATGATGTCTTGTACCATATCCACATTTTGGTAGCACATGTCACACCAGGACTCTTCTTCTGAGCAAATCTTCAGCTCATCAAAATGTGTCTATAGAAACATAATATCTTACTTAACATTAAAGTCCCATTATCATCAATATTACGTGTGAAACCTTTGAATTTGCTTGATTGTTGTAGCTTCGACACTTCATTACTTCCTTTCTGCTAATTACATGTACAGTTTAGTAGAGATCAGTGCTGAGTGATTGAAAGAGATCAGAGGGTAGATATTTTGTACAAATTAATTGTTTTGCTCTGTTTTATTGAATGACGTTTTAATGGCATTTTGTTTTTGTTTTTGTTTAGTTTTTTAAAAGACTCCATTACAGTTCTGGATGTTACATACACTATGTAAATGTACTCACAATCTCATTGGTACACATAAAATGTCAGGCTTCTGCAAAGCTTTTGTGATAATATTGTAAGAAAAGATCATATTTGTGGCCGAAGTTCAGCACATCTAAGTAACCATGGGGAACCACAACATGGTTTGAAGAGTTTCCTTGGTTACCTTAGAAACTGGACTTCTCATATCTCTGCTGGTCAGACCCTTGTAATCAGGGGATATTCGTCATCTTTATCATCTTTGCCGACTTTTAATGGTAGATAAGGAAATTCATCATAAAAAGAGTCCCTCATTGGATCTAGAATGAAGTCTGTTTTTTAATGCTGACATCTGGAAGTGGGTGGTATTCACATTCAGTAATAACTGTTATTTATTGATGAAAAGTACTTCTTTAACGCCTTCTCGTGGTTTTATTTAATATTACATAATACCAACAAAATTATGTATATTTTTGCATATAATATTAGCTGTCATCAGGTGCTTCAATTGTGCAATTAGTGGAATATTTATAACTTGTGGCAGTTTTGTAAAAGTAAATTTACATTTAATTAATAAAAATGTAATTAACATATAATCTGTTGAGTTTTATTCACTCTGTTTCCTGTTTTTAAGCATATAGTATGACAATTGATTTTAATGGAACTTTTCATCTGGTCGGGACTATTCCATTCATCCTTCTTGTTTGGGCTCTGAACTGATACAATTACATAACTGCATTTGTCGATGTTTGGAGAAATTGTACATCCTGCCATTTCTTACTCCAGATTCTGCGATGACGTCACGTATTAGTTAATGGCAAATGGAAGGTATATTCCTCCAAAGCAGCCTCGCATGATGCCCTTCATTTTGTCTGGAACATGGTACTGGGCCAGTGCCTTTCTTATTAAGCTGTGTTGGGACTGTGCTATATGCATTTGCCAGAACTAACCACACCACTGTTGGATCTCCGCGGTTCACCTTTGCCTCTCTGATCAGTTGACTTACCACGCTTATATTCTTCACAACCTCTATACACCTGTCTAGGTGGTTTCCTTACATTGGATTTTTTGGATGATCCACTGGCTAGATTCTTTCGGTTGGTCCCAAAAATGAGATCCGTTTCTCATTCTCACCTGAAGTCTTCAGGTCTTCTTTCACTTCTTCTTTCTGGCATTGTAGTGTCCTTAATATTCTGTCTTCGAGTACTGCTGCCGTAAACTTATAAGGATTTCACACAAATATTATCCTTTTCTTGATTTCCTCTCTCCGTGATTTCGTGATCCGCTCCGCTTTCCTAAGCTCTTTCAGTCGCTTCTTCAAGTGGTCACTCAGCTATCTCAACCCTTCTTCTCCTCATCTGTTCACTTCCCGTACAGTTTGTCAAACTTTCGCAGCTCTCCTCGGATCCGCTGTATCGCCCTCACCTTTCTGTTATGTGTTACAGCTGAATCATTACCTGAAAAAAACTCTGTCTTCGAGTCCCGAATCGTTCTTTCCCGATGATATACTCTAGTCTGGTTATTGACTCTATCTTTCGCTCTACATTACTAAGTAGTGATATTTTCATTTTCTTTTCCAGTACATCCTGAAATGCACCTCCCCCTTTTTGTCCATTGCTTGAAATTTCCCCATGCTAGTTGTCTGCTCTGTGGGAATTGATTTGTCCTCCGCTAGTTGCGTAGTGTCATTGAGCTATTCCGCAGGGACATGGAAGTTCTCAGTACTGTGGCGTGCTTCCTGACTGATCATGCTGCGTCTCACCAGCTTCTACTGCCTCATTGTCTCTATTGTCTTACACTTCGTTCTGGATTCTCAGTCCCTTCACATTCTGGCAATTTCCCCTCATTGACAGTTCACTGTTTCTCCTTTTTTAGAAATATAGACAATGAAATGTACCCATAGTATTGTGCACTTCAGGAATTCCTTTCATTAGCCAAGTGGGTGGTCGGGTGACGCAGTGGTAACGCCCTCGCCTTTCACCTTGCCGTCCGGGTCATCTGCTCTGCCACGTGGGTTTTCCCGGGTACTCCGGTTTCCTCCCACAGCTAGACCCCTCGCGCGCTTACATCCGGGCCAAGAAGAGTGATTAGTATAAGTTGAAATAACTTGTTTCAAAATGCTCTTATTTGTTACACCGGCAACGGTCGTCTGCGAACGTAAACAACTAATCATGGCGACGAGGAAGAACTTGCGACAAGAATTGTCGAGTTGGATGAAATAAAAGAAAAAAATCATACGATAAAAAGGTCATTTCATGACCACTTGATAGCATACCCCTAATAAGTCCTAGAGGCCTTCGGTTCTCTAGCTGGTATCGGGACTCTCGGGTTGATAAGGGACGCGATATCAAAATGGTCATATAATAATATCTAAATGCCCTACCCTGTCAAACAGACAAAGAAATATAATCCTTATGTATACCAGAATCTTTTAGAATGACTGTGTTCTATTAGAGAGAAATTAAGTTCGTGAAAAGACTCAAGTACGCCAGTCAACAAGGGAGGCGACAAATGTACTGCTGTCAATAATACTCTTTGCTTAAGTGATAAAGACCCGTCCCAAGATTCGTGCACCCTTCGCTCGACCCTTGTATTATATCAAGATGGCAGCGCAAGTTTTACTCGTCAGAGTTTTATCAAGCTTTTCAATTTCTTTAAGGATCGGCTATAATGAGAAAAGTACATGCAATTTCTTTAAGGATCGGCTATAATGAGAAAAGTACATGCAATTTCTTTAAGGATCGGCTATAATGAGAAAAGTACATGCAATTTCTTTAAGGATCGGCTATAATGAGAAAAGTACATGCAATTTCTTTAAGGATCGGCTATAATGAGAAAAGTACATGCAATTTCTTTAAGGATCGGCTATAATGAGAAAAGTACATGCAATTTCTTTAAGGATCGGCTATAATGAGAAAAGTACATGCAATTTCTTTAAGGATCGGCTATAATGAGAAAAGTACATGCAATTTCTTTAAGGATCGGCTATAATGAGAAAAGTACATGCAATTTCTTTTCGAGCTTATTATATTCGAGTTAGCATGCATTCCATCGTTTGAAAACAAGTCTATTAAAAAATTACTTTAAGTTTTTAAAACACCGCAATGACCTGTTTTTGCTAACATGAGACAAAGTGTTATCCTTTGCATAATTGTACAGATCGTCAGTCTTTGTAACGATGAATATCTCTGAATAAAAGGTTTGAAATGAGAGGTCGGACGGTCGAACACTAGGGACCCCCTTTCTAAGAGGTACAAGCCTGTAGTTATGAAACCAATTCAAAAGGCAGAGGTAACAGCTGGTATGTCCAACTGCTGACTCGCTACGTCCGTAAGCTCGCAGATTCCACAGCAACATTGAGTGACTCTAGGAAGTTTAAAACTAGCCATGCCCTGGCGGCAGCCCTCAAGGTGCAGCAGGACAGACTGGCATCCATAGTCCCAGCTGAAAGCATTCAGAAAGGGGTGGAAATGTCACCAAAGATAAATACAATTGGTCATAGATATTTATAAAATTACTTTCGAAATCTTACATATTATCATATGTATTATACATATTATATGGTATCACAGTTAACAGTTCTGTAATTTTCATTGTAAAGTGTATTTCTGATTTTAAAGTTAAATGATCAAACGTTAGCTTTGTTGAGTGAATGCAGGATTCGACATTTAAATAGGAAATACACCGTAGACAGATTAAAACGATTTGTAAAAGGTTGACATAATGAATCTTGGCTATGTATGAACATTTTAGCAGATTTATACAATCCACTCCAACAGATGGTGTTAAGTGAGATACCAAACCTTTATAACTCATGATCACGGCAGGTATATAATATGGTCGGGGTTTGGGAATTGCATGTAGCAGTACTATAAAAGATGCCGTTGAGACGCATTACTCACACAGGCATGCACGCTTATGGGGGAGAGAAGCGTGTTGCAGAATGGACAATTAATTAGTAGAGATAATGTGTAGTTTGTAATGATAACCGTACGTATTTAGACTTGGCTTAGTTTAAACTTTTCTCTAGACAGCTAGACTGTGCTCGTGGTATTTTCGAAAAGAAATCTAGCTGAGAGCAGAAAAATTACAACAGGTAATCAAATCTATAACCAATTGGTCCTTAAACCGAACATAGTATTCCAGTGAAGATATCTTCTCTCTCAACCATATCGAATCCCATCTCCTGAAAATTCTATAAAGAGATCAAGGGTTTGGACCAAAGATATCTAACCTAGATGCCGCACGGCCTATCCGCGACTGTTGACACAACGTGTCTGCAGCGCCGCCATCTTGGGAAGGTATTGTGTAGCGACACAATGGGCCTCATGCTAGAAATCACACTGAAAAAAGTGTAGCTCGGTCACTAGCCCACGTTTCAACACAAATAATCTTAAAGCTGAGAAAAAGTTCCATGCTGTAGTCATCTCAAAGTGGAGTTATCGGGAATCAAAATAAAAGAAAAAATAACGGAAATATCTAAAATGTAAAAATTATTGAAAAAATACATACTCCTCAGTTATTTTGCATAGGATAATTTTAACAATAAACTGACATATAATAACACCCTCCCCCCACCCCAACCCCCAATATACCCCAGATTTACGCAGTTTATTAAAGGTTATATCAGCATGCAGAACACTGAATGCAAAGTACCACACAGCAGTTAACAGCCTCTGACCATGAGATGCACGAATTAATAATATATATAGTCACATGCAGTGTGATTGTGGGAGTCTTAGTAAAAACATGAAACTAAGAGACATTTTCATTCATATTTTAATACATAACATTATGCATGATGAATCTGTAAAATGACACAAGAAAATCAGATGCACAATAAAAGTATGCCTTGATATTTATACGAGTAATTTATAAATAATAATAATCCCACTGGCTACTTTCTTGAATTTTGGTACATCAGGAATGAGGAGATCACAGCAAAACAATGTAAGGTAACATACAATCGGTCTCGCTTACAGGCGATTCTAATGAAATGCAGCATGTTGTTCGCCTTCACACTGAACATTCACATACATGTACAGAGAAGGTAAACCTATAATCCAATAACTGTTTGAAGTTGATGCAACAATAATTACATCATTCATGACAATAATGAAAACAAGTACAGTTTGACCTTGCTTGAAGTGCAAACTACTTTATCTTAAGTCCCATATTGCACCAGTCAAATACAAAGTATGTATAACACTCTCGACATATGCAGCACTGATACCATAAAACAGTCAACAAATCATGTCTTCTGTCTACATGTTCTGTATTCGTCACTAATAAGCCCAGGATAACTGTATATTGATAGTACTTCAAAAACCCCTTTCATAATTACTTGAAACACTTCCTGTTACAATGACATCTACCACTTATAACAATATGTATGTTGACAAGTCAAAATGAATAGGCCCTATCATACAAAGGTTAATCAGATAAGGCATACAGTGAAACGTCTTCTGTTTATGACAGCTTGTACAATACCTTCCCAAGAAGGCGGACCGAGACATGTCACAGGCGCCGTCGCGCGGCATCTAGGATTAGATATAAATGGTTTGGGCATCCTCACTACAGGGGTTGCGATCATTATCGCTCTCTGCACCGCCGGAACATGTAGCTGCCATGTCAAATTTTAAGGCAGGAGGGAAAAATACGCTGCAGTGTACCATGGTATCCCGCCGTTACTTTTTTAAAAAGTAAGTAATTGCCCCCTGGACCACGACAACGCAGTCATGCTGACAACGTGAGGCCAATCGATACTACAAACAAGTTTAGATATTTATCAACGCCGCAAGACTAATTTCCCGGATTAAATTCTTTCATACCGTTGTTTCAGGGATGCATATTACGAACGTTGAATTATATTTTAAATCCGTGGTAATACACAGAGAGATTAGAGCGCTGTAGCGAAGAAATTCAAGTTAACTAGCTTAGCCAGTGTACTCCATCCGTCTCCAAAAGCACACAACTAACTTTTCCAATAAATAGTATTAGCGCTTAGAATATTCTAAACCCGTGCTATTAAAAAGCTTGATGATTTTAAAATTTATTGTGCTAACTGAAGTACCATCTTCCATTGTATACCACTCTCTGTCCGAAATAGCACAGTGGAGAAAAGCATCATTAAATTGATGACATTAAAGGGCTGAGTAGTTTACCGATTGAGTCTCTGACTCGCGTCACTTTTGTGATCCGTCACTTTTCATTCATTAGTTTCACTTTTCTCAAAGGCCGGAAAGGTGGCTTTGGTCTCTAATGCGGAAACCACCCTAACTACATTAGAAAGGCACAGGTAAATAAAATTAGATAAGAGCAATAAGTAGAGAGGAGTTCGCGGATTCAAGGCTCAGTGAACAAACACAAAAGTTAATACCAAGGATTTGAAGTCACCAGTGGCAGAACAATCATTTGCAGAACGCGTACGTTATGTACAAGTCGGATTCCTCTGTTCCGGTGTTAAACAATAAAACTATAAATGCTCTTTTGAGGTTTTTAAAAAGTAGTATCTGTAGTAGTTGTTGTAGACATCTTTCACATTGTTGATTAATTTATGGAAAGTATCTTTGATACGATGGGGAGGTCGATCAGTAAGTTGCGATAACATAACGTAACGGAAAACAGCCGGATCTCTTGGCAACACCTCTGTTCATCACTTCGTGTGGTGAAGCAGGGACGTCCCTGGGTGAAGTGACATAAAGCCTGACGCTCTACCGACTGAGTTATCGTATACCCGAGCAATTATTCACTAAATGGTCCACCGGAAAAGAAAAGAAAACATGAATATCTCTTTTTACTCAAATATACCGTTTAAATACCAATATCGTGTATTCAGCATCCTTAAAAATTTACAGAAATATGCAGAGTTGTCTTTCCTTGGCTATAGGCGTCACTTCCGGATGTAGTAATCTTGGAGAAGTTGTCATGAAAGAGAAGATTGAGGAAGCGAATGCGAGTGTCTATTCTTAATGAGGTCAGTGAAGTATGATTTGTGTATGCAGAAATTTTCTTGTATACCATTCCCATATCAGAAAACGTCGCCATGATAATTTAAATTCGAGTTTGTGTTCTCCGTCGTTGATTTATGAGTCATGACCAGCTGGCAGGTTCATGTACACATATAAACATAACTATTTGACACTAGACAGGTCAGGGGAAAAGTACAATTTTCGCTGTTATAGTGATATTCCATGAAAAACTATATTTAACTAGATGAAGGGAAGTCCTAATTTCGCTGTTATAGTAATATTCCATTAAAAGCTATATTTAACTAGATGAAGGAAACTACTAATTTCGCTGTTATAGTAATATTCCATTAAAAGCTATATTTAACTATGTAGACATGCTTAGTTCAATAACTAAGGTCGATTATTAATAAAAACACCTGATCTTATACGTATACAGTTATAATTTCATTATCATTACATAGCTGAACATCTTGTAGAATATAGGTGTCCCTTTCATATGGAAGGTAACGTTACATTATAGGACACTATTTATATCTCTTATAAAGGCAGCAAATTTTAGGATAACTTCACTTCTCCTTGATGGACATAACGGCTATGGTCAGTGTGATCAGTGGTACGTCAACAGCCTTGAAGTGAATAGGGTAATGATAGATAGTCTGAAAATACTTGACAAACGCAAAAGCAAACACATGGGCCTTGTTTCCAGTCCCTCTTTTTACGTTCCTGGCTACATGTGATTAAAAACAAGGGTCAAGGTACATTCAGTGGTTGGGAAGTAAGGCAGAATACACACACACACACACACACACACACACACACACACACACACACACACACACACACACACACACACACACACACACACACACACACACACACACACACACACACACACACACACACACACACACACACACACACACACACACACACACACACACACACACACACACACACACACACACACACACACACACACACATATATATATATATTTATCAGTACACACCCAAACACAATCAATACAAATATAGTTGGGTACAATGTAATTCTTTTATATATTCAAGCTCTTTGGTTATATGCTTGTATGTTCAGGATCGTCAACTGTTAATACTATCATTACTCAATATATCATTTTAGGAATGTGTACAGCACACAGCATAATTTTTTATTTTTTGTTCTAGCAAACAGACTTATTTTGAAAGAAAAACCAACCAATAAATTGTATTCAACATTTGAGTTGAGTATAAAAGGTTTCATTACATAGATTTGACAAGAAATCTTATTTTTGCCTATGAATAGATATGTTTTATCTGGCTTGTAAAAAAACAGAGAGACACAGGATTCTATCTCTTTCTTTTTTTCTTGAATAGGAATCTTAACACACCTGGTCTACATTTCTGAGAAGTTACCATTGAAATACCATATTCCAATATGTATGGGCACTTCACAGCAGATCAGGATAGAGGATCAAACTCTCCTCGAACTCAGGCTCCAGTCTTGAAATGTGATGAAGCTGCTGCTGTAGCTATACTGCAACATCTCAACAAAGAGGAGCTCATGAATCTTCTGGATAATGATGACAAACTACAAGACATCATTTCAGACCTTCCTCAGGTACATTTTCATGTCTACCAAGGAGATTTCCTCTAAATCTTTATTGTCAAATACACAAATCATATCATATAATACTATGTGTTGGAGAAAGAGATGGATGAACTGATGTGGAATACACAATTAAGAGTGACATGTATACATTTATATATGTTAAATGTCTTTGTTTGGAAATGTTATTATTTAACATATACCGTAGAGTCACATCTTAAAAAACAGAAAAAAATGTTTGCCTACGCCTAGTTCAAGCAAGAAACTTTATTTATGGTAATGACCAAATGACAATATATGAATGAGTTGTATAATTAAATGCATGTCTCTCAAGTGGCTTGAAGAAAAATGATGTGACAATGACTGATGCTTTTGGTGGAGATAAAGAAAGAAAATTCTTGAAAATGAATAGAGAATTTTAATTCCAAGGCAGAAATATTCAAGAGAGCATTGCGCTAATGTTTGTTTCCTCAGTATCAAATCTCCTTGTACCAAAAACCTCACTCTAGCAGGGTTTTCCATAAGAGCCGGTCGCCGGCCAATTTGACCAGCTACTTTGATCATTTGGCCGCCTACACCAATCCAGTTCCGTAATAATGTTCCGTACACGACTACACGTACATGGCAGGCCAGCCTCCTACTTTCACTACACAGCCTACTACTAACAAAATTATGGAAAACCCTGCTCTAGAGATATGTAATTTATATCTACTTGTATATGTTAGTAGAGTATTTTTCCAGTTTGAACGGTGGCTTTAAGTATCGGTATTTGGGCTTTCTAAACTAGTGTCTAAATGTTGTGAAGTATTTTTAGCCCACCATCTATCTAATAGATGGTGGGTTATTCAAATCGCCCTGCGTCCGTGGTCCGTCCATCCGTAAACAATTCTTGTTACCGCTATTTCTGGAAAAGTACTGGATGGATCTTTCTCAAATTTCATATACAGGTTCCCCTTGGTCCCTAGTTGTGCATTGTACCTTTTTTGAACTGATTCGCATTCAAGATGGCCGACAGGTGGCCATCTTGGATTTTGGAAGTAAAAGTTTGTTACCGCTATTTCTGGAAAAGTGCTGGATGGATCTTTCTCAAATTTCATATGCAGTTTCCCCTTGGTCCCTAGTTGTGCATTGTACCTTTTTTGGACTGATTCGAATTCAAGATGGCCGACAGGTGGCCATCTTTGATTTTGGAAGTAAAAGTTTGTTACCGCTATTTCTGAGAAAGTACTGGATGGATCTTCCTCAAATTTCATATGCAGTTTCCCCCTTGGTCCCTAGTTGTGCATTGTACCTTTTTTGGACTGATTCGAATTCAAGATGGCCGACAGGCAGTCATCTTGGATTTTGGAAGTAAAAGTTTGTTACTGCTATTTCTGGAAAAGTGCTGGATGGATCTTTCTCAAATTTCATATGCAGTTTCCCCTTGGTCCCTAGTTGTGCATTGTACCTTTTTTGGACCGATTCGAATTCAAGATGGCCGACAGGTGGCCATCTTTGATTTTGGAAGTAAAAGTTTGTTACCGCTATTTCTGAGAAAGAACTGGATGGATCTTCCTCAAATTTCATATGCAGTTTCCCCCTTGGTCCCTAGTTGTGCATTGTACCTTTTTTGGACTGATTCGAATTCAAGATGGCCGACAGGTGGCCATCTTTGATTTTGGAAGTAAAAGTTTGTTACTGCTATTTCTGGAAAAGTACTGGATGGATCTTCCTCAAATTTCATATGCAGTTTCCCCCTTGGTCCCTAGTTGTGCATTGTACCTTTTTTGGACTGATTCGAATTCAAGATGGCCGACAGGCAGTCATCTTTGATTTTGGAAGTAAAAGTTTGTTACTGCTATTTTTTGGAAAGTACTGGATGGATCTTACTCAAATTTCATATGCAGTTACCCCTTAGTCCCTAGTTGTGCATTGTACCTTTTTTGGACTGATTCGAATTCAAGATGGCCGACAGGCAGCCATCTTGGATTTTGGAAGTAAAAGTTTGTTACTGCTATTTCTTGGAAAGTACTAGATGGATCTTTCTCAAATTTCATATGCAGTTTCCCCTTGGTCCCTAGTTGTGCATTGTACCTTTTTTGAACTGATTCGCATTCAAGATGGCCGACAGGTGGCCATCTTTGATTTTGGAAGTAAAAGTTTGTTACCGCTATTTCTGGAAAAGTGCTGGATGGATCTTTCTCAAATTTCATATGCAGTTTCCCCTTGGTCCCTAGTTGTGCATTGTACCTTTTTTTGACTGATTCGAATTCAAGATGGCCGACAGGTGGCCATCTTTGATTTTGGAAGTAAAAGTTTGTTACCGCTATTTCTGAGAAAGTACTGGATGGATCTTCCTCAAATTTCATATGCAGTTTCCCCCTTGGTCCCTAGTTGTGCATTGTACCTTTTTTGGACTGATTCGAATTCAAGATGGCCGACAGGCAGTCATCTTTGATTTTGGAAGTAAAAGTTTGTTACTGCTATTTCTGGAAAAGTGCTGGATGGATCTTTCTCAAATTTCATATGCAGTTTCCCCTTGGTCCCTAGTTGTGCATTGTACCTTTTTTGGACCGATTCGAATTCAAGATGGCCGACAGGTGGCCATCTTTGATTTTGGAAGTAAAAGTTTGTTACCGCTATTTCTGAGAAAGTACTGGATGGATCTTCCTCAAATTTCATATGCAGTTTCCCCCTTGGTCCCTAGTTGTGCATTGTACCTTTTTTGGACTGATTCGAATTCAAGATGGCCGACAGGTGGCCATCTTTGATTTTGGAAGTAAAAGTTTGTTACTGCTATTTCTGAGAAAGTACTGGATGGATCTTCCTCAAATTTCATATGCAGTTTCCCCCTTGGTCCCTAGTTGTGCATTGTACCTTTTTTGGACTGATTCGAATTCAAGATGGCCGACAGGCAGTCATCTTTGATTTTGGAAGTAAAAGTTTGTTACTGCTATTTTTTGGAAAGTACTGGATGGATCTTACTCAAATTTCATATGCAGTTACCCCTTAGTCCCTAGTTGTGCATTGTACCTTTTTTGGACTGATTCGAATTCAAGATGGCCGACAGGCAGCCATCTTTGATTTTGGAAGTAAAAGTTTGTTACTGCTATTTCTTGGAAAGTACTAGATGGATCTTTCTCAAATTTCATATGCAGTTTCCCCTTGGTCCCTAGTTGTGCATTGTACCTTTTTTGGACTGATTCGAATTCAAGATGGCAGACAGGTGGCCATCTTGGATTTTGAATGTAAAAGTTTGTTACTGCTATTTCTTGGAAAGTACTGTATGGATCTTTCTCAAATTTCATATGCAGGTTCCCTTTGGTTCCTAGTTGTGCATTACATCTTTTTGGACGGATCCGAAATCGAGATGGCTGACAGGCAGCCATCTTGGATTTTGAGAGTAAAATCTTGTTACTGCTATATCTGAGGAAGTACTGGATGGATCCTTCTGATATTTCATAGATATTGGTTTTCCTTGGTCCCTAGTTGTTCATTGTACCTTTTTTGGACTGATTTGAAATCAAGGTGGCCCACAGGCAGCCATCTTGGATGTCGACAGTAATACAGCACAAGCATATTGTCCATTATCCACCTGTAACTGACTGCTATCTAATAATACTTTGGGATCTTTTTCAAATGATATTTGCTAATAGGTGCTTAGTAAAAATATCTTGTGCCATCATTGAGTACATTCAATGAAGACCGGTTCATGAACATTTACAACACCTGTAACAAACAAAAAAAAATAAACAAATCTTCAAGAACTGAAAACAGATCCTCAAATGGTGGGCGCCAAGATCCCTCTGGGATCTCTTGTTTCATTGGTACATGCATCAGTATCATCAAAGATACTACTTTATTCACAACAGGTGAAGAACATTCAGACAGAGAGAGAGATGTTGATGGCACAGAACAAGAGTGTGGCTGAATATAATATTAGTGTAATGCCCAAACTGGAGACTCAAAAGAGGAAACTTGCAACAAACTATGAAGATGCTAATAGCCTCAAAACAGCTTTAGCCATGGACAAATCTAAGTTAGGTATGCTTGACAGAGTTGATAGTTCAGAAGGATGTTGGACTGGAGCTCTTATGATTATAATCATTATTTATGGATACATTAACTTAGTTAACTGGGAACATGTTTAAAACTAAGTATATTAACCAATTGTTAGAAACCCACGAGATTCTGCTTTGTTGTTTGTGTCAAACAACAGAGCACAGTTTTGTTGGCTTCCGATATTGATACAATGTATTAACTATAATATTGTAAAATGGATATAATTAGAGATGAGATGAGTACTCTAAGGATGTTGGAGTATGTATACTTATATCAATTAAACAATTGAAACAGTTTCACAGATTATGATTTGAGTGAGATCGAACCATATTTCTCTTGATAACTTACATAATTCCAGAGTCAAATAACTATTTCACTGAAATACAAAAAGAGTTAAAGTTTAAAAAAATTGTACCTTCCACCTCCATAGTCTTTCCAAATCGGCTTGTTTCTGTGTTCTAGATGTCTTAAGAAGAGAGCAATCTTTAGACACAGTCTGTGTGTTACTACAAACAGCTGCAGCAAAGACGGAGGAAGAAGCTGAGGTGAGATTGATGTGTCTTTGCCTTTAGTGTACAGCATCAAACAAATTGGTGCTTTTTTAATTGAATGGTATTTTAAATCGTTTTGTTTGTGCAAACTTGTAAAGTCAGTTTTACATAAATGACCAAATATGATAACAAAATGTAAAAATGTTATGACTGAATACATATGAATTATCAAAGATGAAAATAAAAAAATAAAAAAAGAACAAATGAGACACCAGCCAAACAAAGCATGTCTGCAAACTGCTTGTAAAAATCAGTTTGTATCAATTTAATGATAGTTATCAAAATATGATGAGATATTTGATAAGTACATGATAGTATTATAAAATATGAAATTTTTGCGGTAAAATATATTTTTTGTATATTTACAGGAAATTTCAGACCAATTTTTTGACAGAAAAATGGATGTGGAAACTTTCTTGGAACAATATTTAAGCAAAAGGACTCTTTCACATTTGCAACAAGTGAAGTCACAAAAGCTCACTGAACTTATTCGTTCTCAATCTACTCAAGCTCCAGAGAGCAATCAACAAACCAACTACAACTGGGGGTCTGGACCCAGAGGTGGTAACTACCCAACCCCACCTCCAGTAGCCCAGCCGAGTGCAGCACTGCCCTACCCTAGTGGACCTTCATACCATTCAGGGGGATCTTTTCAAATGCCCCATGGTGGATATTATAACCATAGGTGATGGGGGAAAATGCTCAGATATAACATTTTAGTCTTCAAATAGACATATTTTTTTGTGAATGTTGAATTGTTATCATTTGAGTATTGTATATTATTATTCACTTTAATGACTAAGACTTAAAATTAGGAGTAGAAGTTAATTTTTTTCATGATAGATAAATTCTTGTTCATACATACATATATGATATGGTTATAGTGAAAATTGATGGATATTATTATAAAATGCACTTTTTTATCATGTGAGACATGTTTAATGATTATTTTGTGCTTTTGTTTTGTTTTCATTTTCTTGATACATTATTTTTTGTGATATATTGTATACATTCTGTTTTAATGAGGAAGATTGAACAGATATTGATACAAAAATTGTCACCTCAACAGAATTATTTCATTAGCATATATTAATGTGTTTAATTTGGTTAAATTTCACATTTTACGTGGCCATGGATATCACTGAATGTCATAAAAAGTTTGCTAAACCAGATTTCAATTAAAACAATCTAATAATAAACACCGGTTTGAGAGCTTTGTTTTTTTTTGAGAGTGTTGCACCTCTGACTCAAGATGTTTGACCTGTGACTCCAGGGCCCGTATTCATGAAATCATTCTCAAGTTCAAGCATAGATTTTGTGCTCAAGCAGACTTTTTTATAATTCGCCTAAATCATATAAAATAATACAAATGTCAAATATAAACTTTGAATATACCTTTGACTTGAAGTCCTTTCAATTCTTTTTAATCTTTGGCAAAATCAGTCTTATTTATCAACTTTTAACTTAAACAAGTCAAAAGACTTGAGCACAAAATTCATGCTTGAGCATGAGAACTGTTTCATGAATACAGGCCGAGGTGTTAGACTTCTGACTCCAGGTGTTGGACCTCTGACTCCAGGTGTGTAGACCTCTGACTCCAGGTGTTTAGACTTCTGACTCCAGGTGTTGGACCTCTGACTCCAGGTGTTTAGACCTCTGACTCCAGATGTTTAGACCTCTGACTCAAGGTGTTTAGACCTCTGACTCCAGGTGTTAGACTTCTGACTCCAGGTGTTGGACCTCTGACTCCAGGTGTTGGACCTCTGACTCCAGGTGTTTAGACCTCTGACTCCAGGTGTGTAGACCTCTGACTCAAGGTGTTTAGACCTCTGACTCCAGGTGTGTAGACCTCTGACTCCAGGTGTTTAGACCTCTGACTCCAGGTGTTTAGACCTCTGACTCCAAGTGTTTAGACCTCTGACTCCAGGTGTGTAGACCTCTGACTCCAGGTGTTTAGACTTCTGACTCCAGGTGTTGGACCTCTGACTCAAGGTGTTTAGACCTCTGACTCAAGGTGTTTAGACCTCTGACTCCAGGTGTGTAGACCTCTGACTCCAGGTGTTTAGACCTCTGACTCCAGGTGTTGGACCTCTGACTCAAGGTGTTTAGACCTCTGACTCCAGGTGTGTAGACCTCTGACTCCAAGTGTTTAGACCTCTGACTCCAGGTGTTTAGACCTCTGACTCCAAGTGTTTAGACCTCTGACTCCAGGTGTTTAGACCTCTGACTTCAGGTGTTTAGACCTCTGACTCCAGGTGTTGGACCTCTGACTCAAGGTGTTTAGACCTCTGACTCAAGGTGTTTAGACCTCTGACTCAAGGTGTTTAGACCTCTGACTCCAGGTGTTAGACTTCTGACTCCAGGTGTTGGACCTCTGACTCTAGGTGTTGGACCTCTGACTCAAGGTGTTTAGACCTCTGACTCAAGGTTTTTAGACCTCTGACTCCAGGTGTTGGACCTCTGACTCCAGGTGTTAAGACCTCTGACTCAAGGTGTTTGACCTCTGACTCCAGGTGTTGCATCTTTTTAGAGGACTTGTTGGTAGTTGTACAGAACAAATAAGAAAGGACTCGTCACAAGATCATTTCAGCAACAGTAATATCTGCACCTTTTCAGATCACAGGAGACAGTTTTATATGCAAGTGGTATGTCTTAGTGCAGAAGACCTACAGATTACCCAATCTAACTGCAATTTTTTAGGTCATCTGACCTGAAGTGTCAGGATGAGCTATAGCCATTGTTTGTTCGCCGTGAGTCATCCGCTGTGCATAAATTTCCATTCAAATGAGTTCTTTCAACCAAAAGACCTAGGGTGCTTAAATTGGGCATGCAGTATGATGTGATGAAGGGCTACCAAGTTTGTGAAAAAGAATGGTCTTGACTTGCTTTCAAGGTCACAGCGGTCATATATGTTAAAGTTTTTAACGACTTCTCAATAACTTAATAACTTAATGGGACGAAGGGCTATCAAAATTGTTAAATTGTCAGTCATTTAAACAAACATGGTTGCTCTTCATCCCATCATGCTACAGGCAAAATGTCAGCATCCTGGGCTTTTTGGTAAAGTTGAAGCATTGCTGACGACGGACGACACACAATGACTGTAGTTTCTCGTACTTCTTAGACTCTTCAGTAATGTTTTAATAATATTAAAATCCAAAAGTTAACGATTTTAATCGATGGATATATCAGAAGTGCATTAACCTGCATTTGTGATCTGTGAGTTTAGATAGTGTATAGTGTTTAGAGATCTGATATTAGTGACAACTGTGCGTCAGTGCCACGATTCATCAGAGTGTAATATGGACAGACACCAACTATTGGCGACTGGAAGAAAACACAATTTAGGTGAATAATCATATAGCGATGACAATTAATCAAACGGTGTCATCCTGTTTGTCCCAAAACTGAAAAATCAGGTAAAAATATTTTTTGGGACAAACAGGATTTTGTATGTATAAGTCTGTAATGGCTAAGAAAACAAACCAGCAATTAATCTTAGTTTTATTTAAAATACAGATAAATTTAGCACTACATACCACTATGATATAATGTACATTTTATATAATTATCAATTATACTTACAACAAAATTTAACTTGGAAGGATGTGATATAGTGTATATTTCATGTTCAACTATACAGTTCAGGACATAACTATAGAAATAAATGAAACCGATAAATTAACACAATTCAAAATAAAACGAAATCAGTCCATGTGCAACAGGTATGTGGTTCTGTCTCCATAATTGATGTAGTTGATGTTGTTGTTTCGTAGGAGAGTTTTCAGTTGGATAAGACGGCCATTTAGCATTCTGTAACGACGTCTCTTTGGCACAGGCAGTCCTCATGCAGCATGTTGTGGGCGGTTAATGTAATTGGTAGCGTGAATGTCTTTCAATTCTCTGAGGAATATGAAAATGCTTGGATGTGCATGTGGGATCTTTTTCTTGAGTTTGCTATGCCATCCTTCCAAGTTGTTTGTGGCCCTGGGTCCATCGTTGTTAAAGTGGTTCCAAACTTGTCGGCCTCCTTCTATCCATTGGGTGGTGACGTAGTCAGTGATTGTATCTACGGGTAGGTCGACGTCTTCAAGGTCCTCCAAGGCGTTGAACCAGCAGTCCTCGATGTGATGTGGTGGTAGTGGAAGAACAGCGACTCAGCGAATATTTTAACAAAATCATTTCTTTCTAATATCCTATTTAAATTATTTTATTTAATTCATATTAATTATTCATACATGCATATATATTAGTTAACGTTATAATAATATTTGTATTTGATTTTTTCAAAATGTTTCAAATACCTTTATGGTTTACATGTGTATAAAATTTTGGACAAATTTTTTACCTGTTAAAACAACACACACAGGTACCTTAAATGTTACAACAACACACTGCCCTATTAGTGTACAAAATGTTTTTGGGACAAACAGGACATAGATTTTTTCAAACAATAATATAATCTGTAGACATATTGGTGTTTAGTTAACCAGTATTTAAATAAGTGTGTAAACAAAACCATGAAGCATTATGTAATATCACGTGACTTTATCTGTTAAGGACGCAATCAATAGAGTGGTGCATCAAGGAAGTGATTTATGGCATTGTGTTAAAAACTTTCATACACATACGACTTACAAAAAATTGCTTCGCCCATTGAATGTGAACGTCTGGGGTAATGCCAACTTTCATGTTTTGAATGTAACAGGTAAGTCCTGTGTAAGACGTGAATCATCACATTAAGAGTAAGTATGATGCTACTTTTGTGATAATGCACCCTGTACGCGGATAGAAATGTCATTTTACTGATAACATGCTAACGAATTGCAATTTGCCTATTATCTACTTAGCAAATATAATTAATTGTCCTAAGGTTCGCTGATGATATACATGCACTTATGATACATTATATATTTTTGACTGTGTTAATATCTGAATGTAACAAAATAGGGTTTAGATATATTGTTACAAAATGTGGTTTCGATGTTAGTGTAACCCAGATACATAAGTCAATAATATTTGAATGACCGGTTGATTAATTTTATCAATACGTAATATCGGGTATACTGGATGGGGATTATGAATGCACACCGATATTTCGTACTGTATTTACAGTGGACAGCACTGATATCTTCTGATTCTATTGGTCTATTTTGTAACACAGCTGGATATTCATATGGGATTGGTTGAAATAAGTTAGCTTAAACAATAGTTCGTTTAATGTTCAGTAGTATATCAATATAACACATATAGGTAGTTGACAGGGGTGTTGATAATAACTTGCATATATACACTTAGGTTGGTGTAGTCTGGGTTCGGACAGTGGCCACCTAATAGTAGAGTAATTATTAGAGTCTATTTCAAGTAACAAATTAGCAGGGGGAATCTCAACCTTGCACCTCGAGTACAGGTGGCTATACTTCAACAATCGTATCATCTAGCAACAAGTGAAGTCCATAATAGGGGATGACCGGGCAAGCTTGGTCCAGAGTAAGATAAAAGGGTGGAGATCTTAAGGTTAGAACACACGGCCTTGGGGGAGCCCACCAGATGGACAGTTCTGATACGAGACACAACGCGAAGTACTAGTATTGTAACGTGCAGCCTAGCTTTGCACACGGCGAGTAAGTCTCTGGTTCCTTGCAGAGATACCAGCTAACAAATGCCGATATATACATATTGTATTGTAGAGTTTGTTGTGCAACAACAAACTCAACCTGAGTTAACAATAAAACTAACGAACGAACATATCACATATCTGTAAAAACATTTTCTCTCCTTCAACACGTCCATCCTAATGGTTTATTAGAACTTACGAGATTGATTAAATACTAGCCTAGCTACACAACCATCCAGGTTGTCCCAGTACGAGGACTTCTATGTCACACAGTGACATTTTCATACAAACCTGACACCTTAATCCAAGTGTCGGACAATCTAGTCATTTATCTGTTACATCTAATCTCTGCAGATATTTTCTCTCACAAAAATTGATTTTGCTGATGTCATACATATAGATCAATGTCGACGAAATAAAAATAATGCCTCCTGTGTACCGTTGACTGGTGACAATCAAACAGATCGATACTGATAATAATGGTGGTCCAAAGTGTATTTTCATTGATGTCATTCATACGAAATGCAATTAAGAGAAAATCCTATGGACTATTTTTTTTTGCTTTGATGAGTACAATATGGC